ATAAAACTGAAAGTTTCGTTCATCTAGTTCTTCATTATATTTTATAACAAATCTAAAAGACACTTAAGATTCACTAAAACAATATAAACAAATTTTTCATAAAAAATAGAGTAAAACACCTAACGGGTTTCTCACACCCACCTTACATCTTGTGCTACGAAATCGAACCTTACGCTCACCGGGTTAACGTTTTGTTGCTTGTAGGCGACAGTGTAGTTCATGGAATCTTTAGACCAGATTTCGAGTTTATGTAGGTGACTTCTTAATCTGGAATGATCTGTAAAGATATGTACCCGTTAGAATTAATGATGTACTCTCTGGGAAGGTGCATCTGGAAGTTCTATCGAAATTAATAATTCTTCTGATATCATCCTGAGTGAAACCCGTCGTCTACGAACTTATTGAACCTTAGTGTAGGTTTAAAGCCGGAAAATTCACCATAGACCAGGTATTTACCATACGGAAAATCTTGGAAACGACCCGCGAGAAAGGATCTCTTTATCTGATGTTGGAGAGGATAATAGGAGCTGCAAAATTGAGCCGCTCATGTACAATGTACTACAAAGGCGTGCAATTTCTGGCCTATGTGAATTCTCTTCTGCCTTTTTCAAGATGAATAAGAAAGGAAAGCGAATTGGTCTGGTGGTAAACGAGGACTAGACTAAGTATCTTCTGTCATCAAACAAACAGTCAGCGCATTCGCGCCTTGGCACCCACGTCATTGTTGACAGTTATAATTTTGAGATAGTAGAGAATTTCGTTTACACGGAACCAGCATTAACACCGATAATAACGTCAGCATCGAAATTCAACGCAGAATCATTCTTGCCAACAAGTGCTACTTTGGACTTAGTGGCAGATCAGAAGTAGAGTCCTCTCTCGACGTACGAAAACCACACTTTATAAGTCACTCATAATGCCCGTGCTGGTATTCAGCGTAGTATCATGGATATTCGTGGCGGCTCTTGGAGTATTCGAGAAAAAAATTTTGCGGAAGATTTACGGGATTTTACGCATTGGCGACTGCGAGTACCGCAGAAGATGGAACGATGAGCTGTACGAACTTTACAACGACATGGACCTAGTGCAGCGAATTAAAATACAATGGCTCCGCTGGCTTGACCATGTCATTCGAATGGACACCGAGGCTCCAGCTCTGAAAGTAGTCAACTCAGAATCCGCTGGTAGTAGCAGAAGAATGGCCCCCACTGCGATGGAAAGACCAAGTGGAGAAGAACTTGGTTTCGCTTAGCATTTATAATTGGCGTCCGTTGGCAGTGAAGAAAAACAACTGGCATGCTTTGTTGAACTGAAGATATATTCCCGTGGGACTTATACTACGGTGTAATTAGTACCACGATGTAGGGATGCAGAGGACGCATTCGGCAGTACCGCTAGTCTGTTCTGGGCGAATTTGACAGAATCAGCTATCATCATAGAAATAATTATTACTAGTTTTTGCTAATAAACCTTTTTTACCATAAAAGATTGCAGAAGCAATCTGCTAGTAATACGCATCAATCATTTATACCAGCTTAGTGTTTCTTTATTCTTCTTTATTTCGCTATATTCTTGCATCTCCCCTATTCGTTGCCATCCTGACGTCATCACCCGAAGGATTGCGCAATCTTGTAGTTTATCATTCTTGATTAGTACTTTAATATAAAGGTAGCGCTGCGCAGCGGAATTTGATACGAAGCCATTTTTTTTTTCAAACCAAAAGCGCAATTTAGACGCATTAAACATTTTGATAAACCAATAACTGATCCAAATAAATGGTTAAGTAGAGTTTCTATAAAGAAAAGACTTCAAAGGTTGCAAAATTTGTGTACATATTCGAATTTCCGGTTTAACATAAACATTGATCTGTATTGCAAAACAAGTTAACGGTCGAACAGGTAACAATGTTTGTATTCTCGTTCTCGTTCTGCATGATTCGCTCGGGCGCCTAATTCGTTAAGGCCGGCCCTGTGTTTATATATCAACACATCGTCGATGTTTTTGCGAAACCGCCCATCCACCAGTTGCGATCGTTGTGGCAAAAATGATAATGCATAAAAATCGATAAATCGTTATTAAAACAACAGATTTGTAAAATAATAGCTAGAGAAAATACAGCCTATCAGGGCAATGCCTTCAAAGAATAAACCGGTTTTTCGCTCTCCTGTAAAATTTGAGTGCCGTAAGATAGGCGGTTTTGCAATTGGGCGATGGGCGGTTTTGCAAAAACATCGACGATATGCATATGTACATACCCATGTGCTCGTAAATTACGGCAAGTGAATAGTATTAAATAAATTGAAGCAAAAGAAAGGCAACAAGGACGACTGTCAAGTCACCGAGTAACTGGGACGATACTAGTATTTACATACATACATATGTATATTGGCAGTAGAAACCTGCAGCAGCTTACGCATTAGTTTTACCTCTTAACAATTGTACTAACATATGTATGTATGTACATACCAGAGAACAGCTTTGAGTATGATCGAGCCTTTTTGATCACACTCACTAAAAATCAAGCACGAGCGAACGCCACACTCGGCTACTATGTGTTCGATCGAGATGCATACCCGACAGCTGCTTTGGTTACGAACGAGTCTGTTCGATTACCCTCGCTATAAATTGAGCACAAGCGAACACCACACTCGGACACCCGCAGCTAACCCGAAAATTTGTGTAACAATGAAACGGACACCCGAACATTGCGATAAAATGCAGGACAACAAAGAAATTTACGCTGAAGGTAACTGGCGCCAATATGTTCCCACAAAGCATACGAAAATGTTGTTGCTTTGTGCTTGTGCATACGCAATGAAAAAATTAGAAGCGAAGTAGACAAAAATGTTTTTGCATCTATTTCGTATAGTTTCGCGTGGAAAGCTGTGTG